TGCTGGTGCTCCCCTCACCTCCCCCTCTTACCTGTTTTTTTTTTCTAGCTGTCTGGTAAAGATAGCCTAGTGAACTAGACCAAATTCTTGCTTTGCAAAGTTTGGTCTAGGCATGCTCCATTGGAACCTCCACAGCTCCTACCAGGACTCTGGCTAGCCAATCACAGCTCTCTAGAGGGGTTTCAAACACATAAAGAGCTGTGATTGGTCCATAATGGTGGGCCAATCACGGTGCTCTATCTGCTTAGTGAACAAATCACAGAGCTTTATCCGCTTTGTGGGCCAATCGGGGCACTCTATATGCCTGGTGGGTGGGATGATGCAACAGAGTGAAACAAGAGTATGTCACATTCATTGTCCAGTGGAATGCGGAGATCATTTGAAAGACAACGGTAGAACCCGCCCCACAACCGAGAGCCATCAATGGAGCGTGGCCAGACTAATAATACATTTATTTAGTCTGGCTTGCCAGGCTATGGTAAAGAGGCAGCTAGAGAAAAACCAGAGACAAGACTAAACAATTCAGTCAGAGGCTATATGCAGGATATAATGACAGAGCATACAGGCATCTGTAAAACGTGATTTTTTTTATTACTATGTTTGTAGCCTTTATAGTTTATGTTGCATTCTTAACTTGTGTACTTATCTGAAGTCTTCACAAAGTCAGTCATAAATTATCTTGGTTGGGCAAATTCAGTTGACCAGATTCAACAGAAGCCCTTTTTTCAAAAGGCCCCAAAATGCTCAGGCAATCCAAGAAAGCATTATGGTTTTATTAGAACAATAAACCTTCAAAAGCACAAGCCTTTTGTGAATGTTTTGTAATGCAACTTAAACAATTTTGGGGGAATAATGCAGGTTAACTGCAATGCAAGCTTTGATTGTCCAGGTTCCAAAAGAAGGTTCATAGCAGCTGTGATGAAGCTGCTTTTCAGGTGTTGAAAACAAGCCAGACTCTTGAAAAGGCTTCAGATGATCGGCTAAATCTGAATAGAATTTATTTTTCAGGTTACCTGGCTGCAAGTGCATGTAAAAAGATACAGTGACAGTGACACTGACGTGATCTGTTCTCTGTCTCTGCTGAAGCCACGCTCCTTGAGTTTTTAGACAAACCCTCAAAGAGGTTGTCCTTCACAGTTCCTGAGAATTGTCTGGCTACTTCTGCCTCTGCTCGTAAAGACAGAAGTTCACAGATCACGTTGTCACTCCAATTAGCCATGTCCGCTGGTTGTTTACTTACTTTCCCATGTTTACATGGTTTATATACTCTTTCCAGTTGAGGTCGCTGCACATTTGCTACGTCATTTGACATCTTCCTCTGTTGCGCCAAGGCGCAATCGCTGTTTATAGGATAGACAATTACTGCAATATTACTACCAAGCGAGGCACAACAAATAGAGCAAAATTTGCGCATCTATAAAACACACTGTTGCGGTAATGTTACGCTGATTTGCCGACACTATGAGTGCGTTTACATGCAGCCAGTAACCCTTTTAAAACCCGAATATTCACAATAACCCGGTTCCGCACGGCATTGTAAACACCGCCAAAACCCCGGATATGCTCATAACCGGGTTTTTAAAAACTCGGTTACTACACCTGGGGTAACCCTTTTCTGGGGTAACCCTTTTCTAACCCGAATCAGATTATCAATGGGAGCCTCAGCACAGGTGTGGTCCCATCAGCTTTGAAAGCAGCAGTTATCCGGCCGACCCTGAAGAAACCTGGTGCTGATGTCTCTGTGATCAAAAATTACAGGCCTATCTCTAACCTGCCTTTTACATCAAAACTGCTTGAGAAAGTCGTTTATCAGCAGCTGGTCTCACATTTAGCTGACTCTGATCTGTTCGAGGTTTTCCAATCAGGGTTCAGGTCTGGCCATAGCACAGAGTCAGCTCTACTGAGGGTCCTAAATGACATCTATCTATCACTAGATCAGGGTTCATCTGTGGTGCTTCTGTTGTTAGACCTGACAGCAGCCTTCGACACAGTCGACCACGCGATTCTACTGGATCGCTTGGAACGATGGGTTGGGATCAAAGAGTCAGCTCTGGATTGGTTTAGATCATATCTCCACAACAGGAAATTCTGTGTTAAACTGGGTGATGTTTTTTCTTCTTGGGAGGGGCTCCGCTGGGGGGTCCCGCAGGGATCGATCCTTGGTCCTCTTTTGTTTGCCATTCATCTGCTACCTCTGGGGTCAATCTTTCGTAAACATGGCCTATCATTTCATCTCTATGCTGACGATTGCCAGATTTACTCTCCATTGTGTCAGGAGAAAGGTCACTCTATCCAGTCCTTTGTGTCCTGTGTTAACGAGGTGAAGTCTTGGCTAATGGCCAACGTTCTGCATCTGAATGAGGGAAAGACAGAGCTCATTGTTTTTCACCCCAACAGCAGGAATGTGGATCGTTATGTTGATCTTGGGCCTCTTTCTCCCTACTCAAAACCAGTTGTGACCAGTTTGGGGGTGAAAATTGATGCTGGGCTTAAATTTGATGCTCACATCAACTCTGTGATCCGGTCCAGTTTCTTTCACCTGAGACGCCTTGCAAAAATCAAGCCCATGCTGTCGAGAGCCCACCTGGAGCGGGTACTGCATGCCTTTGTAATTTCTAGGCTTGATTACTGCAGCTCTCTATATGCAGGGTTGTGTCAGTCATCACTGCGTCGCCTACAGGTTGTGCAGAACAGCACAGCCAGGTTCCTGACTGGGACCAGGAAACGGGACCACATCAGTCCGGTTCTGACCTCCCTGCACTGGCTTCCGGTTTGCTATCGTTCACACTTCAGACTCCTCGTCTTTGTTTTTAATCACAGATCAATTCAAATCTGTAATTTGAATTGCTTTTATTTTGTGATTTATTCACTTTCTTTAACTTTGTACTGTGCCATGTTCAGCACCTTGGGCTTCCTGACAGGGTTGTGGAAGGCGCTTTATAAATAAAGCTTTGATTGATTGATTGATTGAATGTTTGGTCGTGTAAACGCATATCGGGATATCCCCATCACAGCGTGTTCTGTGCATGCTCGGTTCGCAAGGAATCTTGGTCTTTTGAGTAGCAAGACGTCTTGTATGCGCCAGAACACCGGAAGTAAACAACAAGTTGGGAGCGATGGCGAGTCGCAGCACAGCACCACACTTTTGGAGTGACGAGGAAACCTCTGTCTTCATCGGTCTGGTGAAAAGTATGAACATTATGTCTTTTGTTGACGGCCGAAAGTACAGAGACAGCGAAATATGACGCATATTGCGTCTTGACGTAGTCCATACGTCCTGGCGCTACCCCAGCGTCCGCATTTAAATCGGGTTATGCAAGTTAGGGGTAACTCTTTCTATTTATGCTTGTAAACGGGTTATTCTGATAAACTCAGAAACCCGAATACCGACCTTAACCCGATCATAACCCGGATATTGGCTGCATGTAAACGTAGTCAGTGTGTCTAGTAAAAAGGGCTTGAGAGTCATTTTCAACCAGGGCTAAAGAGGTAAACAAATTCCCATCTGTACCGGGTCGGCCCAGGCCGGGTAGCCCCAGTCGGCCCCAGCCTGGCCCGGTTGTTTCCACACATCCTTGCTTAGGTACGCAAGGAATGCAGTCAGAGACATTTTCAGCTTCTGGGTAATCAGCATGATAATGAATGATAATGAATTGAGCATGCCTTAAGCCCATGTGGGCTGATTCTACCCACCAATCAGAGGCTTGCTCTAATGGAAGGTGTGAATTTGCTGTCAGCAGTGGGTGTGTAGGCCCTGGTCGGCCTGAAGCAGACCCCCTCGAGAAGAGGGCTGAGAATGAGCCTTGGTTGGCCCGGGAAAATTCCAGGCCACCCAGATATGTAAACAACCTACGCTGCCCGGCCCGGGCCGACCCGGTACAGGTGGGAATGGGCTTTAAATGAGGCCATCCTAAATGATTGAGAATTGTCAAGTCCCCGACATTCCTCCACATTCCAATGGGCCATTGTCTGTGCTCTGCACAGATAATGGCTACATTTAAAAATGAAAGGCAGCTAACTGTCAGTGACTGAGTTGTTATTTTCAAACCAAGGAGCCATTTGGCTACCTCTGATAGAGCTGAGGGGGTCCGAAAAATCCTGATAGTTCTAGTGTTAAGCTGAGAGTTACCAACCAAACTTGGTTTTATATATATGCATAATGAAAATAAAGAATTCAATTCAATTGAGGAGCAATTACTGTGCTCTCATACTGACTTGCCCCCCCCCCCCTTTTTTTTTTTTTTGTTCTTCACGATGATGTCGACAAACAAAATAGTCGACAATAAATGTAATCATTCTATGAAACGTTGTTTTGTTTCCTCCCCTTTAGTGAGATTTAGTGTTTATTTTTTATCAATTAAATTAAGATTTCGAGCATGCATGAGTAACACCAAATAGTGGTGATGTAATGGTATTTGAAGTCTGAATGTATTGAAGAGGGAAGGCAATATGTAGTTACCAGGTAGAATATCAGCCAGAGCATAAAACATTAAAATCGACGTGACAAACTAGTAGATTATGGCTTGTGAGACATGATATTAGCTGACCTCGCGGTGAAAGCATTTCCTCCAAACGTCTCTGGATCTACAGGAGAATAATCCCAACGATCAACAATAAACTGACTCGATCTGCTGAGGAAATAGATCACTGATCTTCACATCCGCTGCAGAGAACGAAGAGCGAAGCGGGCAAGACTGAAAACATCCGCTTTGGTTGTTTCTTCTAACCCCAAACGGTTAAATTAGCAGATACATATTGACTTGTGTGCTGGCGCTACTTCATCCGCATGTAAACCAACAGAGTGAACTCTGACGTTAACTTACTGTTTCAAGACGAGACGTAGCTCCACACATGCAGCGGTTTAAACCATCATGAGTGGTTGCAATCAATCAGTCCGTTATATGCTCCGTAATCCATTCGCTCCCGTCGGGGCTTTTGGCTTCCGTGTCACGCGGTGTGGTTCATAATTCCCTGATTGTCTCCTTTTTTCGTCAACAGCAAGTTATCACGTTTCCTTGTTTTGTCTTCTGCCGAGCGACTGTGTGGCGAAAAAGACTGAAAGCCCGCCCCAAGAAAAGCCCGAGCATAAATTTCTCCGTGTGCGGCGTTGACAGTTTGTGGGCGGAGCTAAACCCCCTCTCTAACGTCCTTCCGTCCATCCTGTCTGAACGGCTTTACACAATCAAAGTTGTTTACAGAATGCAGTTAAAACACAGGGTCTGTGTCAAGGGCTCTCAATCTGGTTTTAAACGTAACCATGGAGATAAACTCGGTTAAATTCCAGTTTTCCTGCAACTATTGTTCCACAAAGAAGGATCAGGGTGAACGAAAGACATTTTGCACAGTTCTGTGTGAGCAAATGGAACACAACAACTAGTTGCACGCAGACTGTGAGAAGTTAGACTTCTCTGTGAGATTAAGTTACAGATGTAGGTGGGTAATGTAAAACGCTTTGGAGTCCTCTGACTAAAAGGTGCTACAAGTACAGGGGTCTCATTTATCAAACACTGCGTAGAATCCTTACTAAAAACCGCACTGAAGCTCAGCAAAAAAAGTACTTACAACAAGTAGGTTTGTGATTTATCAAACATGGAGTACACACAGCTGCACGCAATCTCCATAAATCTTCATAAATCAGAAACTATCTAGAAAGGTTCTCAGTTGCTTTTTAGTCACATCCCGCCCTCACCACGCCCACTAACTGCCACAAATAGTCAGTGCAAAGTGCCTTGGGGATCTCATGCATATACATAAGCCGGCTGTTGCAGCACTCCGCCAATGACGATGGCGACAGTAGATCAAGGCGGACAGTGTTGGGAACGTTACTTTAAAAAAGTAATTAGTTATAGTTACTGATTACTTTGTCAAAAAAGTAACTCAGTTACTAACTGAGTTACAAGATCATAAAAGTAACTAATTACCAACAAAAGTAACTACTTAGTTACTTTTTTCATTAAAGCATGCAAGAATTACTACAATAGTAAAATATAAATGACTAATGACTGGAACATAATAAAATGTATGTCCAAATGTTTTATATATACCTGAATAATTTAAACAAATAAGCACTTAACAGGAGGAACTACTAATAGGAACATTACACTAATCTAGACTATTAAAAGGTCACTGTGTGATATTTAACAAAAACCCAATCAGCTAAAATTTAAAATTGCAAATAGAAACACCTGTAAAGGTTCCCGAGCCTTTAAATGGTCTCTCAGTCTAGTTAAATTACAGAAATAAATGTAATTTTGCACAGCATTCTAATTTTTACAGCTTCACATAATTGTGTCTTTTTAGTAGCATTTCTGTTGCTACTAATCTAGTATCGGTTAAATAAATAAATAAATATCCTTTAAAATGACACTAGAAGAGGCACAAGCCTGATGGAGGACTTAAATGTACTAACATGGGTCAGACCCAAACACAGAAGAGCTGAAGCTGGGTGGTGAACACACACAGGTAGTTCTGATAACACCTGAGCTCCATGCCGTCTGAGACTGATGCATCAGTGTTACAGCGTGACTAAAGACATGATCAGAAACAGGTTACAGCTGGATGATCTAAGAAGGCAGAAGATCAGGACGTCTGAGCGGTGAACAGGTGAGCGGACCTTCGGGACGTCCCGCTGTCACGCTAAGGGCATGGCTGCAGACCCGCAGATTCGCTGCTGCAGCAACAAATCTGCGGGTCTGCAGCCGTAGACTATTCATCACGTCTTCCTCGTTCTTCACGGGCCATGATGCTCTTAAACATCTGCCTCTTTAGCTCCTGATCAGCTGACGACAGCTTCAACACACCGCGCTGCTTAACGCACGCATTTCCTTACCAGTAACAGGAACAACGTTTTGATAAAAGAAGACGTAATTAATTAGTTTGCTTGTTACAGAAAGACATATTTTTTATTAACGCGGTTATTTTAAACAGAGTTATTCCCGTTGTGTCTACAGCATGCAGTGACTGAGACCGTGAGGGTCTCCGCCCACCCGGCCAATCATCATCGTGTTTGTAAGTGTGTCACCGACACCTCTCTCTCCCTGGCTGCAGCTGAAGTGTGGCGGTCAGAAAGCCTCACGCTGCTGCTCAACGTTCGACAAGCACATAGTAACGCACAACCTTCCGTCCCCAGTAACGGGAACGGCGTTGCAACGGCGGGAAAAGTAATTGATTAGATTATTCCGTTACCTATAAAAGAACGCCGTTAGAAACGCCGTTATACTTAAACGGCGTTACTCCCAACACTGAAGGCGGATCAAGGAAGCTCAATTTCACAGAAGCAGAAATTGAGGTACTTGTGGGTGAGGTGGAGAAATGAAAGGAAGTGCTTTTGCAAAACAAATAAGAGCAAATCCACAGAGTGGCACAGCGTTGCTGAAGCTGTCAATGTTGCGAACTCTTCAGAGAGATCTGTGGCGGATTTAAAAAAGATGGTTCAATCGGGATTCAATCCCCAGACTCCCGGGTGAAAGTCACACGTGCTAACCAGTCACCCAAACAGAGATCTCCCTTATCCAAGTAGCCAGGGCGCATCATTAATCGGGTCACAGTGACAGGACACACACTATCAGTGACGCATGACATTCTGTCTCAATCTGCCCCCCGCTGATATTCTGCTTTCCGTATTCTGCGCTTCAGGCTGTGTGTGTGTGTGTGTGGGGGGGGGGGGGGGGGGGGGGGGTTTCTGTGTGAAAATGAAGCAGTACAAGTGATAATGCTGCAGTATTTCATAATTTTATCCTTCTCAGCAGCAGCACTGCAGGGGCTGCTGCGATAAAATTGTCCATGTCCAAAGTGTCCATGTCCAAAATGTACGCAAGCGAGGTCCTTCGTCAACTTAAAGTTGCGCACATTTTTCCGCTAAGTTTTCTTTCATAAATCCCAAAGTTTGCGTGGAAAGTTGCTTACGCAGTTCTCCGACCCCGTTTCTTGCGTAAGCAAGCTTGATAAATGAGGCCCCAGGTCATTTATGATTTCTCATAGTAGTGCAAGCATGGCCTTAGAGCCTTTTTGTTTCCTCCCTTTCCGGTCGGCTCACGGGTCCTTGAATGAACAGAAAAATTAATGCAAGTAAGTGGGGCTAAAAGAGCTATTTTCTAAGCTGCTTTCGCCCTGAATCGCACGTGTTGTACTTCAATTGAAATGAAAAGTAATATGTGTTTGTGTTACGTCCCCGACAGGAGATGTTAAAATGAGAAGGAGGGGGGCAACATAAGAAATGCGACAGTGGAGTTAAAATGGGTTTAATTGTTATAAAAGGTTAAAAAAAAAGTGCAAACAGATGCGAGCATTATTAAGATAATGCAAAACAAGGTCAATAGAATTGTATCACAGAGTTAACCTTTAAAACGATCCCTCTGGATATCTCAGAGTTAAAACTATAAAAGTTAAAACTCTTCAACTCGAAGGGGTTGAAAACAAAAGGAGGCCTGGAGGACAGCAGAACCCCTGCACTGCTGTCTCCCAGACTGCTGAAGGCACATCTTTTTTATCCCAGGTGTGGGTCATCAGTATTCAGCTCAGCTGCGCTCCTCAGCAGCCTGGAAGAGAGGAGGAGGATGGGCGATGATAGGATTTTCAAACTGGGGGGGACAAAGTTCCAATGTACCCCCCCCCCCCCCCCCCCCCCCACACACACACACACGCACACGCACACACACACACACACACACACACACACACACAACTATTGCAAGCGCCTTAACTAGAGCTCAATCAGTTTGTGTAATTTCATCCATTACGTAAAAACTAACACTTTTATATACGTTTTAGAAGCCATTATGCAGTGGAACGCTGGCAACAACGCTCTGCCTGATCAACACTATAAATGATAAATGATCCGCACTTGTATAGCGCCTCTCAGAATAAGGACTCCAAAGCGCTTTACACTACAGTGTATCATTCATCCATTCACACACATTCACACACTGATGGTGATAAGCTACGATGTAGCCACAGCTGCCCTGGGGCGCACTGACAGAGGCACTCCACTGTTTAATTCAGTCATTTGTTATTCTTCCAATCAATTACTAACCAAAACCTCATGCTTTATGCAAAACATTAAATGATTTTCAGCATACCAATCTTTATGGAAAACATAACAGCCCTAAAAAACTGCACATAAAATATATTTAAAAAACAATATTCACTTATCACTTAGAGCAGTAGTTCCCAAACTTTTCAGCCTGACCAACAGATGTTCCTTCGTATTTTTACGTTATTTAGAAATTTTCATTATATTTGGAATGTTTTTATTTATATATAAATATATAAATCTCTTTTTAAATTTTATATTTTACTTTTTTGTATGATTATGTGGCACACTTTAACTTCCATATATAACGCATCAGCATCTGCCTCTTTTTTACGGCTTTTTTTTTTACATTGTCGCTACGTCTATCATGTTAGCGGTGTTTTTACCATCATTTCTACATCCATCACGTCCCAAAGAAGGTTGAACAAACATCAAACCCAACGTTTGGAGCTTGTAAACTCTGTCTGATGCTGCAGCTGCGTCAATCTTCCCGACTGGATGAGTTAATTTCTTCATCAGAGTCAATATTCTGCTTCATAATCAGAGTCAGTCATTACCAGACAAAGTGATCAGTCAACAAAGACCAGATCTGCCAGCAATTATACGTTTTATCTAATATTTGCTCTCTTCATGCTGCACGCATCTCCTCCTCTCCCCGTTTGGGATCCTCTCAGCAGGAGGCATTTTTCAAACTCTAAAAACTCCCAAACTTTGCTCAGCCTGAAGGTTACACATCTCCACTATTTTCTGGTGCAAAGTAGTAACTTCATGAGGGATCATATTTGTAGATGAGACTTGTTAAAGTCAGCAATGAGGCTTTGGCGCTTATAACGAGTAAGTCCCAACACTGACAACAAAGTACAGAAACTAGAACCAACATGCATAAACAGACAGACCGGTCCCGCCTGCTTACACTGTTGGTCTTTTTTAAATACGCAGTAATCGTTGCTTGCCTTTTTTGCTTCATCCTGCATCCTAGCAGCAACCACTTTGGCGCCTCTGGAGTCTGTGTTTGTTTACGTCATGCTGCAGTCATTGTAACTGGAAAAAGGGGCTTCAAGCGCTTAACCTCCGATTTTGTTTTCTTTCTGGCCTTAGTTGGGGGGGACGGATCGGGGTTGATCTGACAGATCGTTCATGTCGGTTCATTTTCTTTAATGTTTTCTGTCTTTTATTTGCGCCTGATGCGTTTCGCTGCTGTGGAGCGGGGCACATCACCTTGTCCTCCGACGCACTGAAGGAAATGAACGATCGCGTGTTAAATAATTTGGCAACACCTGATTGTTACTGTGGCCGTGCTCAGGAGGCAGATCCGACCGCAAAAACAGCAGAGTGCTCCCTGCTTGGCGGCCGCATCAGTGATCAGTGCGTCGGAGGACAAAGTGTGCCCCGCTCCACAGCAGCGAAACACATCAGGCGCAAATAAAAGACAGAAAACATCAAAGGAAATTAACCGACATGAACGATCGCGTGTTAAATAATTTAGCAACACCTGATTGTTACTGTGGCCGTGCTCAGGAGGCAGATCCGACCGCAAAAACAGCGGAGCGCTCCCTGCTTGGCGGCCACATCAGTGATCAGTGCGTCGGAGGACAAGGGTATGTGCCGCGCTCCACAGCAGCGAAACACATCAGGCGCAAATAAAAGACAGAAAACATTAAAGGAAATGAACCGACATGAACGATCGCGTGTCAGTACCGACGCACTGGCAAAGCGCGTTGCCCCCCCGAGCGCAGGAGCTTGTCACCTGCTGACAACAGGCTGCTGTCTTTTCCGAGGGCTGCATCTTGCCGGTCATTATCACGTGACAGCGACTAGTCAACGACAGGCATAAAAAGTCACTATAGTGAAGTCGACTAGTTCATACAACCCCTGCTACTGCTCCCCAGAGTGTTCTGCAGCATAATCAGCACGTTCTCTTTGAACTTGATATCAAATTTTTGCCTCCTCTTCGTCTCCGCACGGTTAAATTTACCCTCGCGGTCTATCACTGGCAAATCAAAAGTGAGACGATGACACAACCGCCCCCTGTACTTGCTTGTTACCACATTCCACCCGGCCACAATAAGAGACCGGCCATTATTCACCTCCGCCGACTCCGACACCGGCCAAAATTGGAGACCCGGCCTTTAATTGAATACCGGGCTGTATTAGAGGATTTACGGTATGCACATCCAAACCAATGGGGTGGGGGGGGGGGGGGGGGGGGTGTAGCCCCTGCTCTTCCTGGGGTGCTCCCGAGAAGGTGAAAAGACCACCAACACTAGCCCGCTGAATGCAACACTATAAAATCAACCAGGTCCCTCCCTAAAGAGGAAGGTTTTCTGAGCCTGCCTGCGTGGGTCATCTCTGGATCCACCATTTCCACTCCTCACACTGGGCTGGATCAGGCTCGTAGGTTTCTGAGAGCCCAGCCAGTAGTGGATCCTCTGGCGGGGCGGGGCCTCCAGAAGCACCCGCCAGTCATCCACGAAGCCACCTGTCGCTTAAAACCTTAAAACAAAATAAAACACCATTAAAATACCACCACCAAGGGATTGTACATTCCTTCACGGTCTGCTGTAGTTAAAAATGCTCCCGGACGAGCCCCCATTTATGTTATGTCCCCGACAGGAGGTGTTAAAATGTGAAGGAGGGGGCAACATAAGAAATGCGACAGTGGAGTTAAAATGGGTTTAATTGTTATAAAAGGTTAAAAAAAAAGTGCAAACAGATGCCGAGCATTATTAAAGGGGCATTATGGAAGTTTGACAGCCAAAACCTGTATAGAAATAATAAATTTCTTCTTCATACATTCTCCTGCAATGCCCTGGTCCTGTAGAATGAGCTCTGGCATTTTTACTGTGATTGCCTGTTTTTCTGTAAAATCTCAGAAAAAGAGAGCTGCTTGGGTCGAGCAGGCTGCTTCATGTGCGTTCACGCTCAGGCATAGCCCGTAGCATTTGATATTTGTAGCTTTAGCATCAGAGAGAGAGGTAGTGCCACTTTGTCGCTGTTCCTAACACCTAGTGACAAACCTAGCTACATTTCTGAGGACCCTTAGCTACTTTCTGTAGAACTTTCTTCTAGATATTTCCTGCAAATTAGCAACAAAATAGCCATTTTCGCTCCAAACCGTTCCTTGAACGTTGTTTCAGCTGTCATAAAGGATATAAATGTTACAGATGTAATAGATGTCACTGGCACTTTAGCTCACCTAGTAAGACATCGGACTCTTGTGCAGTAGACCTGGGTTTGATTCTGGGTGTGAACATAGTTTATTTAGAGTTTCTGTTTTACATTAATGGTATGTTTTTTTTACAGTAAGATGCTCAAATTTTTATTTGAGACTCGCTGAACTGCATTGAATTCACAGATAAAAAAGATGTGGGTTCAACTTTCATTTTGGAACAATTTTTCAAGAGCATGCAGGAGGACTGACCCATCTTAAACCTTTGTCGGCTGTGCTGAAGAGAAAGGTACAGAACCAAATTATTTAATTAATTAGCTGCGCGTTCTCCTGTTCTCTGTCCTCCGGGCCACACACACACACACACACACACACACACACACACACACACACACACACACACACACACACACACACACACACACACACACACACACACACGACTGTCTCAGCTGTTATTTTCGTTAAGGAGTGTGCACGTACAGCATGCGTGCCTCGTGCACGAGCCTACTAATGAAGCTGCCGTTACGCTTTTGGCCTGAGGGGGCAATCGCGAGCATAAAAATTCAAAACTCCATAAAGTCCCTTTAAGATAATGCAAAACAAAAAAAAACAAAAAAAAAAATCAAAAAGGTTAACATTAAAAGAGCAGTTACCAACATTTAAAACACCTGGTTAAAACTTATTTAAAGTTTCACCAAAACAGAATGTGTTTCAAAATCCACAAAGTTGATAAAAAATCCACAAAGTTGATAAAAGTTCTAAAACAATCTATTGACATAAAACACCTGGTTAAAACTTATGTTAAAAGTTTTACCGGAACAGAAAGTGTTTTAAAACCAAAGTCAATTAAATTGTATCACAGAGTTAACCTTTAAAACGATCCCTCTGGATCACTCAGAGTTAAAACTATAAAAGTTAAAACTCTTCAGCTCGAAGGGGTTGAAAACAAAATGAGGCCTGGAGGACAGCAGAACCCCTGCAGTGCTGCCTCTCAAACTTCTTCTTCTTTTGTCATTTAATTGGCGGGTGGCAACCAACTTTCAGGTGCATTTCCGCCACCTACTGAATGGGAGTGTGAGTCGAAGTGGGGAGTATCCTACTAAAAAATAATATTTAAAAAAAAAAACAATTCTATTAAGTATTCCACTTTTCCTCAAAAAGCAAAACCACTATTCCCCCATTTAACAGAATATTCAAATCATATTTCTTATATCCTTTAACTTTTAATTTTTCAACTAACATTTTCCTATTCCCCACATATTTTCTACAAGAGCATAATACATGTTCTACTGTTTCTCTATCAAGTCCACAGTCACACATACCGGTATTATGCCATCCAAGAATAAAAAGCGTACTGTTCAAAGCTGTATGTCCCATTCTCATCCTTGATATTACTTACTTGATTTCTGTTACTCGTTTGAATGACTTCCATTCTTCCAACCTTTGCCTTTAATTTGTATAAATGTCTTGTAGCGCAGACAATCTACATACTAGAATTTAACGCTGTGCTATTCAGCTTGTTAGATTCTGAGGAAGATCAAACAAATATATAAATATATATAATATATATATATATTCACGGATATATTTATATAATCCATAGAAGTTCATATACCAACTGGCTTGGTCTATGATCTTTAATCCAAAGATTAATATTTAATTTAAGAGATTTAATTAATATCTAAAGTTTATTTATTAAATCAGAAGACTTAAAGAAATCTTTGCTCGTTCAATGACCAAATGTACACCACTCTGTGTTTCATTTCAAAGAAGAATCAGGTTTAAAAAGTTAAGAATTTATTACTAACAATTTAAAGATGACAATTTAAAAGACAATTCAAAAATGACAATTTATAAAACTTTGATATTAAAACTTGGTATTAAAAGCAACCTGTGTCTGGATGAGGACTAAAATGAAATGCGTGTGTTGGATGTGTGAATGGAATCTCAGGTTTCTTTCAGAGAGAGAAACACATTCTGGGTGAAAGAGTTTGTTTTGCAGTTAACTAAGCTATTTCTTAAAGAGAACAGCATACGGACGCAATCTGTGTTTTCCCTCACTGAACAGACGACCCTCTGTGTGGATCCGGAGGTCAAGGGAGGATGTTGTCAGCCTCTGGGTACTCAGTCCGGTAGGGAAGACCCGAGTGGTACCGACTCTTTGGTCCAAGAGTTGCCGTTGGTACACAGGTGTTGAGTTTGCATCTTAAATTTACTCTGAAGGAGTTTGCATCAGCTGGTTGCAGGTGGCGTTTATTGGAGCAATTCTATAGGAGTGACAGAACAGCTTAGTGGAGGCTTTGAGTGGCCGTCTCGATCCTCTGGGACTCTCATGCCACGCAGAGCTTTTTGGTCAGAAACCACCTGACGTTGAACAATCAGAGATATGAAGGACTCTGAGCAAAGGCTGATGCGATGTTCCAGATGAAGGCAGAAGGAGTGAGGAAGCATTCCCCACGCCGGTGAAGTCAGGATGATATCCTGAGGAAGTTGGTGAAGTCAACAACTGTAGATCATTGCAAAGTATATCCTCGTGAAGGTAGCTATTTCAATAGCAGTTGATAATTGATCATTAATAATTAGTAATTGCAAAAGGATAAAGCAGCCTGTGTTCCCTCACAGCGCAGAGCAGGATGTAGAAGGACGACCAGCCGGCAGGATCAGGTCACCGGTGACTTTCAGGCGACCCTTCAGCGCAGCAGGATCAGGACATCCAGAACCACGAACCAGAGCTCCAGGCAGTAGGCAGCATCAGGTCAGCGAAGCACAGAGGTGCCCCAGGTAGCGAAGACCAATGGTGAAGCTCAGGAGAGGAGAGGAGCAGACACAGCACGTGAGGGTAGACACACGAAGATTGCGTCTGATGCAAATCAACAAACAAAAATAAACCTGGCACTATGAGTACCTGCATGTTTGAGGTGAAGCAATTATGTGAATTACCATTTTAAGTGAAGAAATGCATGCAATACCTACGTGTAATGGAAACAGTGATGCAAAAAGAATGAAATTAATAAAACCCTATACTGGTATGGGAGAAATCACTGCACTAATTAAATTCTTTATCAAAATGAAGGGCGAAAATTGGTTGTAGCCCATTAAGGTAAATTAACCAAGTTAATCATAAAGTTTTCAAAACTTAATTACCGTAGTAAAAGTCTATAAAAAAGATAGATATGTAAGTGTCAAAGAGCACTAAAAATGTAAATCAGTGAAGTTAGTAACCCCTACATGAGACTCAGGATTAGTAAAACTGAAGCATAAAAATGAACTGAAATCAGTTATCAAAGATTAAACTTCAAAGTTATCAAAATCACTAGAATTTTAAGAATAAAGGAAAAATTGAATTTGGATCAACATAACAGGTAGTGGAGTTACTCACTTCGAACTGTTATGAACATAAATCATTTGATTATGGAAAAACCACAGCACGACCACAGCCACAATCAACTAAGTCTGTATGATTTGTTTAGACATGAATTCATTCACGCACTTACGTGACCTGAATCAGAGAACCCAGCGAGAGCGGACGGAAGTTCACCCCCCTTTCGGCATGATTCGAGTTGGGTAGTCAGCTATATTGCTATATTGGTTATAATAACATCCAAATTAGTGGAACCTTTGTGAGGTTTGACTTTGGTCTCGTGCAGGGGCGTCGGATTGGGGGGGGGGAGGGTTCCGTTTACCCAGGGCCCACTGCAGGGAGCTGAGACAGCTTTGAATAAAAATGTTTTATTGTTGTTTTTTTTCCCCCAACTTACTTAATGTCTTAATAAACTTCCCTTTACCTGGATAAAGGGGTTAAGAAACAGAATTTCGCCTTAAAAATAATAACTGAATAATCTCTGAGGCATCTATCACCCCTTAAAAATGTGCAAAGTGGTTTAGTCCACACCAGCGGCCAGGGGCTGCACGGCCGCATGTACAGCTATGAGACATCGCAGATGCCGACAGCCAGAGCTGGAGGCAGGAGAGTCAGTCATGTCTTTTCCCAGGAAAGGGAAATCTGGCTTCCAGAAAAGAAAAGAAAAGAAGGAGAAAAAGTTAATTGAACAGAAGCAAGTATTGACTAGGTTATTCAAGAAGGAAGGTGAGCAGCAGCCAGCAGCAGCAGAACACAGTTTTAGCTGATATTAGCTAGCTCTCAGAAGCTGCATTCATGTTAAGTGTTCAGTGTTAAACACCTTTAGTTTCACCATCAAGATCAAATATAAATTAATTAGTGTTATCAGTGAAAACACTAATTAATATATATATATATTAATCAGAATTATTATCGCAGGCGGCCGGCCGCCCGCCGCCAATTAATTCGCGGACCTCGCAGTGAAAACAGGTTCACTCTGTGTGGATATTTCAGCTCCTTCCCAGTCATGGACCAGGACAAACTTGGTATCCATGGATTTGTGGTAATCTCAGGAATGTGAAGCTGCCACTGTTTTTCGTATAGCATGATGACACTGGTGTTAGAGGATTGTAATTGACTTGGTTAGATATTTTAAGGCTATTTTAAATTTCTTTATATTTGATCTTGAAAACGGACAATCTTATAATTTGGCTGATAATGCAGGGATTATAAAATTTAGAGTACATTACATTCACAGAGAGAACCTGGTTTATTTCATGTCATTTGTATTTAATATATCAATACATATCAGCAAAGCTTAAAGAGCAAGTAACGTCTAAATTAACTTTTTTTTGCTGATGAACTGTATAAATGAGTGTCTAATAGTGTTTTAAATGTGTGTATTCATTATTTTAGCATTTTGGTGCATTTTCTTTAAAAATTAATTTTTCAGCCTAAAAACCACAGTAATGCGCCACCTTCAGCTTAAAACACAGAATTTGACACATTTTGAATAAATTTTAGCCAATGGCTAAAGAGTAAGATACTACGTAAACCAGTAGAGTACTACGTAGCAGCTCTTGTGCCAAAGTTATAAAGCAACGAGAGTCTCGGCCACGCCCTGTGGCGAGTTGGGAGTTGGATTTGCAAGCGAGTGTAGGACGGTTAGCGGTAGTTCAGCATTAGCATATATCATTAGCATATTCTAGTCTTTAGCATAGCTTTTAGTGTTATACATACTTATTTAGTGTTAGCTTGGCTGTTAGATATTGTAGTTTAGTTAGTGTTTAGCTGTTAGTTTTATTAGGAAAGTAATTCAGGTTTAGTGTTACATATCGTTAGCATATATCATTAGCATATTCTAGTCTTTAGCATAGCTTTTAGTGTTATACATACTTATTTAGTGTTAGCTTGGCTGTTAGATATTGTAGTTTAGTTAGTGTTTAGCTGTTAGTTTTATTAGGAAAGTAATTCAGGTTTACTGTTCCATATCGTGTTAGTATGGTTAAAAGGTGTAGTGTAGTTGGTTGTGGTGGCTCTGTGGGGTTGCACTCCTTTCCACTGGACTTAGAAATTAGGCGCCAGTGGTTGCGCGCAATCGGTGTACTGGAAAACAGTCAGCTCCCGCCTGGTGCTGTAGTCTGCAACCAGCATTTTACCCGCGATTCCTTCGCCAACATGATGGAGTTTGAACTGGGTTATTCTGCACGTCTCCGTTTGAAGAGGGAGGCCGTGCCCACCGTGGCTCTTCCACGAATTAGATGCAGCCCACCGACTCTGCTCCAACACCATGGCGGGCTCCAGTCTGAGGTGAGTAAGCTAAATAAAAGTTAGCATCTTCTAAAGACAATTTCCTACCTAAATGCAAAGTTTGAGAGACGTGGTTCACTCCATTTAGCTAATATCAGCCTGCACTGCCTTCGGGCTAATTTGTCAAGTTCACAAAATGTGGAACGGGATGTAAGGTTAGAATCAGCGGCGAATCGGAACATTTCTCAAAGCCCTGGCCGACAAAAAAGGTCCACTTGACTATTTCTGTCAGGCTCGGAGAAAATTCGGGTTGTTTTTGTGTCAGTCGGTAATTCAGCAACAGTGGCTCTAACGCAGCACTAGTTGACAGACATCATTACAGCGTGAAATCCAGCTTTACACCAAAGCCTAACCCGGTTCTGTGAGGAATTCTGTTCAGGAGGTCGCATTTCAGGTTCTTCACATCATATGTGACTGACTTTGACATTATAATAACGATCACACACTAGGAATGTTATAAAGCGCCTATATATATATATATATATATATATATATATTGGACAGTTTCTTTTGTATATTATATGACTTTATAAACTCCAACAACAATGTGCTTCTATTTTTTGTTTCAGGCTAAATCTACCCAAGACGTTGGCTGTCAGACTGATTTAGTAATCTGCAAAAATGCACTTGTCCAGGCTCATGTAAAGCCTTATCGACGTAGCAAAGGTGAATTATTTTTAATAATCTTCTATGTAAACATTTTATTATTACCTTCTAGTTTTAATTTGTTTTACAGATTATTGTTACACGTGATTTTATGCTATTTTAAACATTTATAAATGTGCTGCTTCTTTGTATTTTACATAGCCACACAGTTTAGAGCTCCCAGCCGCAGTGTGTCTTGTGACACAGGTACCGTGACGGAAATTCATCTTCCACAAAGTCCCAGAGCTGCGTCCACACCCCAAGGTGTCCCGTTTGTACCGGTCGTTGTGTTGTGAACACGACAACAGTCGGCACACTGCTCCGTGTGACACAACGGTGTTCATGCTGTGAGCACTACAATGAATGGTCCAGTCAGCCCATGGTGAACAGCATCCCAGCAGGAAACCTCCAGCTCTGTGCTGCTGTCCTTTTCACAGGCTCATCATTTAGCCAGATTTCTAAGGTATAGGCCAAAACTGTTTAGGTTAGTTTTGATAAGGTCTGTGCGTCTCTCATTTCATGTCGTAACTTTTCATATTTTAGTTCCTGGGTGCCTTCAATGTGCAGGGACTGTCCAAGCAGTCATTCTGTCGGCATCAGGCAAAGCTCTTAATTCCAACAGTGAGCTGGCAGTGGCAGCTAGAGCAAGCTGATATCATCCAGGAGGCTACTGAATCTGGACCTGTGACTCTTGGTGGTGACATGCGAGCTGATTCACCTGGTGAATACGTTTAAATTTATTTATTTTATTCCTTTGCTATCAAATGTAAATTAAGTAATAACTTGCATTTCTTGAAGGACACTCAGCCAAATATGGCAGCTACACCATGATGGATCTCAAAAGAAACAAAGTTATTGATATCCAACTTGTACAGGTACAACATTACCTGATGATTCCAAAACATTTAATGGTTAATTATTCACAGATCAATGGAGAATTATGTTTATTTTCAGAGCAATGAAGTTGGGAATAGTGTGCGAATGGAGAAGGAGGGATTTGTGCGAAGTCTGAGCACACTTTTGGAGAGGGGGGTCGATGTGCAGCAAGTCGTGACTGACCGCCACACAGGAGTGCAGAAGTATTTGAGGGAGGAAAAAAAGGAAATCAGTCACTACTTTGACCCCTGGCACATGGGAAAAGGTAATCTTTGGGGATGTATATAGTGAATATTACAGGATTTTTTTTTCTATTTTAAATGTGGGTCTATTTGGCTCTCCAGGAATTGGTAAGAAAATCGAAGAGCTGGGGAAGAGAAAGACGACCCAGGATGTGAGACTGTGGAAGCAAAGTGTGGTGAACCACCTCTACTGGTCAGCATCCAGTTCCTCCTCAGGACAGGAGGCAGTTGCAAAGTGGACTTCAGTTGCCAACCACATCCAAAATGTGCACAGCCATGACAACGCCCTGTTCCCTAGCTGTCTGCATGCACCTCTGGAAGGAGAACAGGCAAGACAGTGGCTCAAACCAAGTAAGTGTAGCATGTACTCATTACAGCTGAGCCTTTACTGTTTGGTTTATTTACATTTAAAACACGTCACCCCACAACAGAATATTTGTCTTCACCTCCTTCAACATGGAGAAATATTTTTTGAGCATGTGAGTAACAGACATCACATGTAGCTGCTAAGGTCACACACCACCATTTGGCCAACAGCAATTAATTACTAAGAATAAAATGCTGTGCAGAAATTTAAACACACGAGTGCGCCACACAACTCATGGTTTTAGGCAGAACAGCCATAATTGACATAATATGTACTAAAATGCCGTAAGTAATGACCACACCTGTCTACAGCACTATTAGTCACTCTTTCATACATTTGTCATCTAAAAATGTCAGCTATGGGTAACTTTTTCTCAATGGAAATAATAGCAACATTCTAAAGTTGATCAAATTGTAATTTTTGTAATTAACATTTTCTACGTAGGCACAGCATCATGTGAGAAGCTCACTGCCATTCTGTTAGCTCCACGGTTTGTGAAGGACGTAGAGAAGATAAGCCCTCAGTACCACACATCCACCTTGGAGGCTTTCCACAGTCTCATCATCAGATTTACTCCAAAAAGTCAAGTCTTCTCCTTCAAAGGAATGCTGTCTAGGTAATGAATACAACAAATGTTCAAATTAATGCCTCTAATTGTTCAAATTTTAGCATGAAATGTAGAATTTTGCCTCAAATCTACATGGTTTGTTTATTTGATTATTTCAGATTACAAATTGCTGCAATGCACTATAATGAAAATGCAGCACGCTCACATGCAGCAACAGCAACTGGTGAGCTGAGATATGCTGTAGTGTACCCAAAGTACAAACGTGGAGACTACACAGTGAGAGCCCTGAAGACCAATCCAACCTCATGTATGTCATATATTGTATGATAAAACCAAAATGATGGTCATGGAGAGCTATTGTAATACTGAAAACCCTTTTCCAGTATATGTGCACAAGCTTATGGACCTGCTGTTCGACTCTGTGGTGGTGGATCCTCTCCCACATCAGGAGTACTCGGACAAAATTACGGTTCCAGAACCGCTCTGTGCCCAGTTCCAAAGACCAGATAAACGGGATGCTGTGAGCAGGCACAGGTCCAGGTTTTAAAGTGCACGTCAGGTGAGCTACACAGGAGATTGTAATTATTAGTTAGTACTCTACTCTGTGTGGTTTCTCCTTTTCTCCTCCTCAGCCAGGCTGCACACCACTGTACGACAGAGGAGTTACCTGTCGTCATTATGGATCTTTATGCTCATCCACTCGTGACTCATGCTGTCCACCTCCCAGATGTCTATTGATCTCTACAACCTTTCTGCTCTGTGGCTCCCATACAACTTGAAAATCTTGGCCGTATGTAACATAGCAAAACTCACCAGTCTTGCTTTTGTAAGTCATACTAGTCATACTAATATTACTTTTTCCTTAGAGCCTCCTGATCTTGTAACAGAAAAACCTGTGCTCCCGGGATCCATCTCCACGTTTGTCATCACAGTGAAAGCTACCTCCAGTCTAAGGAACCAAAGAAACATCACTGATGGCCCAACCTATCCTCACATGGCTCCAGAATCTCTGCTTGTGGTTTAGAGTTTTGTCAAAAATCTTGAAAGTTATGATCAGATTGTTATCTAACATTGTCTTAGTAGTAGCTATAATAAATGTTATCTTTAAAGCGCAATTGTGTCTTTTTAAATACAATTATATTGATATTTTGATGTGTATAAATACATATATCACATTTATTATCATTCATTTTTACCTAATTGAACCTGCTCTAGAATAGACTTCATTAATCACACAGGGTGTAAACTCACTTGTTACAGCAGCATTAATTAACCCCGAATTAGAACCTTACTGTTGTAAGAGCTCATTTGAAAGTATGTGGCTATATGTGTGTATATATAAATAATGTCAAAGTGTAAAGAAGTGCATTTACCGTTTTGTGATTTATGCAGCTTTTTATGGACAGGAATCAATACAGGAAATATATATTATAACATTTATTTAATCAAAAAAATATATATTAGTTCAGAGGAGGGAGGAATCCTTTGTATGCACCGTCTTCTGGGAACTCCTGCCTTATTCTGGAGACAGCGCATGACGGGATCACAACACGAACGTGCTGTCCCAGGTAACCCCAACACCACCTGACTACATTCCGGTACGCCAGATGTCTGTAACAGCTGAGAAAGAGGTGGTATGAGTTATAAAGTATTCATAAAAAAAGTAATTTGACAGTTGTCTTACCTGTTGAGCGTAGTCTCCTGCATCTCCCCATAGAGTTGCAGAAAGGTGCCATAAACTGCCTGCAACACGTAGGGATTCAGAGCAACAGCCTCAAAACCAGGATGCTCTGTTATGCAGGAGGTTACACCCACCTGCTGACACCTGAGCATTACCTATGACAAAGAACAACTGATATCAGGTCTATAAGAGTTCAATATTAGTATGATGTTAGTGATTGTGTAACAAATGTGTACATTACAGAATGCTTTTCTCATGGTGGGGTACTTTTATTTTTATACCTTGGGCGTTTCTCTGCAGCACACATTTTCTCTGGCAGACAATGATGTGCAGTGGCCGCAGGTGCACCTGTCGAGGCAGTCATACAATATTACTTTTAGCTAAGCTAAATATAGCTAGCTGTGGCTAAAAGCTACTTACCACTCAGAGACTGGACCCATTCGATGCCTTGATACTCCTGCTGGGTCGACTCCAGGGGCCTCTGACAACTCACGAGCTAGTGGCTCAAAAAGATACGGTTCAGGACCGCTTGCTTCCCCCAATAAGCCCTCCTCCCTATCCTCTGGGGAAGAAGGTGGGGAAAAGTCCTCCACCTCGAATGACTGCTCTGAGCTACTGTCGCTCTCCGTCGCCATCTGTATTCAAATTTCAGTATGTCAATCACGGCCGTAGCTCCGCCTTCTCGGTCTTACAGGAAACGCCTCTTTGGGCCGCATTTTTCAAATATGAAATGTGGGTGGAGTAAGACTCTGAGGAGGCTGTTACCACTACTTTAACATCATGAACCATGACAGACCTGACTGAAGAGCAGATGAAGATATCATGCCAGGCACTGATGAGAAAACATTACAAGGATCTCACAGCTGAATTTGAGAACGAGATGCTACACCTGAGAACAATATATGGTGCCACATTTCCACACATTTGGTCTCCTCTTGAGCTGCTTAATGCCATCTACAGGATGCAATTACAGAGCATTTTTGGAGAAGTTTGTATTGGACTGAGGATATTTTGCACACTACCTGTGACTGTTGCTGGGGGTGAACTGGCTTTTAGCAAACTGAAACTGGTGAAAAATTATTTGAGATCAACAATGTCCCAGGATAGACTGAACAGCCTAGCTCTTCTTCCTATTGAAAGCCAATTAGCCAAAGGATTGGACTTTAAAGATCTCATAAGTGATTTTGCTAACATGAAGACCCGTCAGTGGGCATTTACTGGAGAATAAATTCCAGGATTTTTGTTTGAACACATTGTTGGCAAATAAAAATAATTATATGTGAAGTCTGGGCATTTCACTTTTATTATGCTGGCATTTGTATTTGCTCAATATAGAGGTTAAACTAAGATCATATTTATTATCTTGTCTTATAGCATGACAAAAAATGTGTAAGAGAGATATTAAGTAATTGAGCATGGGGGCCCACCTAGAAGACTTGTACCTAGGGCCCAGAATTTGGTGCTATGCCCCTGGTCTCGTGGACCCATAAACAGATGGGAACTTTGTTACCTTTGGTGATCTTGATCAGATACACGACCGGAGAGAGTGGTTGAGTTGTCAGGTATGGACCTGACCTTTCCTGCAAAAGGTTATTAACCAGTTTACCAGAGGTGACTTTTGTGTGACCAGAATTAGGAGCAAATTTGAGGTCAGAATGAGAGACCCTCAGATCATGAGGAGTCATATTGCCCCCTGCTGGTTTCTTCAGATTTATCTGTGGAACATAAAAGACAGCATGCAGATTTTTGTTAAGGCTCTGCATAGCCTGCTCACTAGTGAAAGCCACAGCGCCACCAGACTGAACTGGCTGGAACAGCAGGAGATGGTTGGACATCAAGCGATCTGGGAGTCCTTCGAGTGAGACACCTGAAAAGGACCCCGGCTCATACGGTCGTATCAGAGGAGGCTGCTGGGAAAGCACAGCCACATTTAGGATCAGACACAGACATGTGACTAGCAAGAGAAACATTGTCTGTCCTGAAGACTGAAACCAAGAATGATTTAGGCTATAGACAGGTGCAGGTGCCTTATGGGGGTCCGGAGCAGATGTGCTCTCTGGAGGGACCCGGTCGACACACAGGTGTGATCAGAGAGATCAGGTTCAGCCAGTAGAGGTACAGGGCGACATCCGACCCCCCTTTTGGTAGGTAAGTCACCCACCTGAGGTTTAGAGGTCATCAGCACAAGCTGTAATGGAGTAAGGTCAGTGATGGCGTCGGTCCCCCTTCTGGTAGGTAGTGTTCCCACCGCAAAGTACTGGGCTTCAGCTGGAGTCTCTGTGCCACCATCAACCCTCCCTGTGGCAGGTGGTGTCCCCACTGCAGGGTGAGGAGTCTCAGGCGGAGCGTCGCTGCAAGCATCAGCTTCCCCTGGGTCAGGTGGCTTTCCCAGCTCAGGTAGGAGTGGTTCTGCTGCAGGGACCACACAGGCTCTGTGGACATCAATGATCTTAGAGGTACGGGATTCCCCGGTCAGTCCGGCGCTGTTGTGGTCAACAACACCTGAAAGAGGAATGACATGAACACAAGAGAAAGCATGCAGCTCAGGAATGCAGTCAAACTCCAGAGGAGGATGTAGATGAGTTTTTGGCTCAGAAAGGTGCAAGATCATCCTGCTGATAGCAGGGTCCTGGAATTGAAGACTGACAAGGTCTTCGTCTTCGTCTTCGTCTTCCTCCGCTTATCCGGGTCCGGGTCGCGGGGGCAGCATCCCAACTAGGGAGCTCCAGGCCGTCCTCTCCCCGGCCTTGTCCACCAGCTCCTCCGGCAGGACCCCAAGGCGTTCCCGGACCAGATTGGAGATGTAACCTCTCCAACGTGTCCTGGGTCGACCCGGGGGCCTTCTGCCGGCAGGACATGCCCGAAACACCTCCCCGGGGAGGCGTCCAGGAGGCATCCTGACCAGATGCCCAAACCACCTCAACTGGCTCCTTTCGATCCGGAGGAGCAGCGGTTCTACTCCGAGTCCCTCCCGAATGTCCGAGCTCCTCACCCTATCTCTAAGGCTGAGCCCGGCCACCCTACGGAGGAAACTCATTTCGGCCGCTTGTATCCGCGATCTCGTTCTTTCGGTCATTACCCAAAGCTCATGACCATAGGTGAGGATTGGGACGTAGATCGACCGGTAAATCGAGAGCCTGGCTTTCTGGCTCAGCTCCCTCTTCCCCACGACAGATCGGCTCAGCGTCCGCATCACTGCAGACGCCGAACAAATCCGCCTGTCGATCTCCCGATCCCTCCTACCCTCACTCGTGAACAAGACCCCGACCCGGAGGTGGCAAGCCACCCTTTTCCGGTCGAGAACCATGGTCTCAGATTTGGAGGTGCTGATCCTCATCCCAGCCGCTTCACATTCGGCCGCGAACCTACCCAGCAAGAGCTGAAGGTCAGAGCTGGATGAAGCTAGGAGGACCACATCATCCGCAAAAAGCAGAGACGAGATTCTCCTGCCACCAAACTCGACACTCTCCACACCACGGCTGCGTCTAGAAATTCTGTCCATAAAAGTGATGAACAGAACCGGTGACAAAGGGCAGCCCTGGCGGAGTCCAACCCTCACTGGGAACAGGTCCGACTTACTACCGGCTATGCGGACCAAACTCACGCTCCTCTGGTAAAGGGACTGAATGGCCCTTAACAGAAAGCCACCCACCCCATACTCCTGGAGCGTCCCCCACAGGGTGCCCCTGGGGACACGGTCATAAGCCTTCTCCAAATCCACAAAGCACATGTGGATTGGTTGGGCAAACTCCCATGCCCCCTCCATCACCCTTGCAAGGGTATAGAGCTGGTCCACAGTTCCACGGCCAGGACGAAAACCACATTGCTCCTCCTCTATCTGAGATTCAACTATCGATCGGACCCTCCTCTCCAGTACCTTGGAGTAGACCTTTCCAGGGAGGCTGAGGAGTGTGATCCCCCTATAGTTGGAACACACCCTCAGGCCACCCTTCTTAAAGATGGGGACCACCACCCCGGTCTGCCACTCCCTAGGAACTGCCCCCGATGACCACGCAATGTTGTAGAGACGTGTCAACCATGACAGCCCTACAACATCCATAGCCTTGAGATACCCAGGACGAACCTCATCCGCCCCCGGGGCTCCGCCGCTGTGTAGTTGTTTGACTACCTCAGCAACTTCTGCCCCCGAGATCGGACAGTCCATCTCCAGGCCTCCCAGCTCCGGCAGAGCTTTGACCACGTCCCGAGAGCAGTGGGGGACATTGAGTCCGAGTGGGCCTTGTTCCACTCTGCGATTGTCGAGGCGGCTGTTGCTAGCTGTGGTCGTAAGGTGGCCGGTGCCAGTCGTGGTGGCAACCCCCGTACCCGCTGGTGGACACCAGAGGTTCGGGGAGCCGTCAAGCTGAAGAAGGAGGCCTACAGGGCGTGGCTGGTCAGTGGGTCTCCAGAGGCAGCAGACAGGTACCGGATAGCCAAGCGGGGTGCAGCAGTGGCAGTTGCCGAGGCAAAATCTCGGGCGTGGGAGGAGTTTGGTGAGGCCATGGAGAAAGACTATCGATCGGCTCCAAAGAGGTTCTGGCAAACTGTCCGGCGCCTCAGGAGAGGAAGGCAGCAACTCGCTCACACTGTTTACAGTGGGGATGGGGAGCTGCTGACGTCAACTGAGGCTATAGTCGGACGGTGGAAGGAATACTTTGAGGAGCTCCTCAATCCCACCAATGCGCATTCCGAGGAGGAACTGACAAGGTCATTTACAGAAAAGGCAAGTTGAACAGACCCAAACCCATCAGATGGTTGAAAGCTGGACGCATCATCAGGGGGCCACAAGGGTTTGAGGGACCATGATGTGTCCACACCTTTACCTTGATTGGCAAGTGGGTCTGTCAAGTTGTTGAGATGACAGTTGAGGAAGTTCTCTGGTGGAAGTGGAGTTTCAAAGCTGAGTTTCTGGCCACCGATGTAGCTGGAAAGGTGTTTACCTGTTCACATGGTGGAAAGACAAAGATTATAGCAATCAGGATATTTTAACACAAGTTGTTGTTCGTCTCGCTCGACTACCGTGGTAGGACCATCAGCTACGTTAGAGAAATCAACAGAATGTGACTCTGATGAAAGCTGAATCTGTGGTGGCAAAAATTCTGGGCTAGGTGGTGAACACGATGTTCCCCCCTGCTCAAAGCTACCAACCGTTAGACAGTGGAGGTCAGGTCGGGAGGCAGAACCATGAGCAGAGGTTCTCCAACCCCTGACCAGAGTCGTCGTCCCTCGTTCCCCCCCCCCCCCCTTCCATCAATGAAAGCATCAATGCGCCTCAGAAAGTCCATGCCAATGGTGAGAGGCATGGTTCCACTCTCAGAGATGTACACGGGGTGTGTCAAGCTCATGGGCCCGATCGTGAACTGGAGCAGAGTCTTGGAAGACAGGAGGAGCACTGTAGAATCAGAGAAAACACATATAGTTAATGCACAGGGAATCAGTTCTGGAGGACGCAGAGGTGATGACACTGAATTATTCAGCTTCCGTTGCCCTACGTAGGAAATTCAAGCTCAGCTGGGATAATGAGAAAATTCTGTACCTAGGAATATATCTAACAGCGGCCCTCTCTGGGCTCTTCCAGGCAAACTACGAGTCAATATCTGCGTGTATAAAAGCTGATCTGCACAGATGGAATCTGGTCCCTTTCCTGAGTCTCAGTTCCAGGGTAACATCAATCAAGATGAATGTGCTCCCCAGGCTGCTCTACCTCTTTAGAAATTTGTCAAGAGATGTGAGTGACCACCAGTTCACTGAATGGGATAAATGGATAACCAGATTTATCTGGCAAGGCCAAAAGCCAAGGATTAAGTACACCACCCTCCAGCTTTCCAAAGAAAAGGGAGGACTGGGTCTCCCCTGCCTCAGGAACTATTACTACGCAGCTCAGATAACCCCCCTTCTAGTCTGGTGTGACAAATCATACGTGGCTAGGTGGAAGGAACTGGAGTCTTACTTATCAGTCCGCTTCCCCCTACAGGCTGCTATTGCAGACAAGGGTCTAAAGTGCCAGCTGGAAGGGCTGGGCAACCCCTGGCTGGCCCACACCCATCAAGCTTGGCAGAAGGGAATCAACATTTGTGAGAAGATATAAGAAGATTCTTTGACCTCCTGACCTTTCAGGCTTATTGTTCTTTGACCCCCTGACCTTGCCCCCCCCTTCCCTAGCATCAATAAAATTGACAGGTCTATTGTTCAATGACCAGATGGCCTTGCCCCCCCCTTCCCTAGCATCAGTCTAATGGACAGGTGTATTGTTCAATGACCAGATGGCCTTGGCCCCCCTTCCTTAGCCTAATGGATGTAATGGTGCGTGACGTTTCCTTTTGTGTTAGCTAGGGCTGCAACAACAAATCGATAAATTAGATGAAAATCGATTACTAAAAGCGTTGGCAACGAATTGCGTCATCGATTCATTGTGTCGCACAACTCTCCCAAAAGCACCCCCCCTTCCCGCCCGCCGTTGCGCGCAGAGCAAGTCAGATCAGCGCGAGGGAGAGCCGGCAGATCAGCGCGAGGGAGAGCCGGCAGATCAGCGCAAGGTTCGCGCTGCTGCGAACCGGTTCCGCCCAAGGCCGGATTAACTGGGCAATTGCCCAGGGCCCATGAACTCTAAAGGGCCCAGGGCACGAGCACAATACTGTATCTATAATTTCCTGCTTTATGAGGACTATGGTGACCGTACGTTCCGTTTTCCCCGGACTTGTCCACTTTTCACTCTCTGTCCAGGCGTCCGGACTGCGGGTTCTTGTATTGATGAAAATGTCCGGCTTTTCATCCAGGAGCAGGGATCGAATTATGGGGGAGCTGTATATCCTACACATCCAGGGGAGCCGGAAAAAAGTTTTCTATATTATATCATTTTTGGACTCTTTTGAGCAGAGAGCAGCACAGCGCATTGTTGCACAGCGATCCAGGCAGCTGCTTCCAACGTACGGTCCATTCTCAGAGTGGCGCAACAAAAAAACTATAATTAGCACACGATCGTTCATGTCTGCACATGTTCTCTATTTTCTGTCTTATTTGTGCCTGAAGCGCGCTACTGCGGAGCTCATCATCTGTGCTGTGGTGATGTCACCTCACGCAGCATCGAAAACACGCTCTGAGCTTTGCGGTCAGGAGATCCCTTTGATCTGCTCTAAAGTAACTGATGAGGTGAAAAGGTAAGAATCCAGGCAACAGATTTTCTGGAGAATTAAGAGGAGATGCAGGAAGATGAGAGACAGACAGGACAGGAAAATAGTTAAATAAAAACAAGAAAACAAAACAAAGTGTTGAAAAGTAAAATGTAGGTAGATTTATCTCCACTACACGTTTTTACCAGTAAAAAACAATAAGTTATACACGTGTCATATTTATACATCTGATACAATTCAGATCACCTTCAAAACTCAGTCACACACCCAGGGCCATTTCAAGACATTTTGGGGGCCAAGGCAAAATGCCCCCCCCCACCCCCCCACCCCCCCCATAACTGGGCTCCCCAGAAGCCTCTGTGTAATTTATACCCTCTCCAGGAGTGTTAGTTATACAGTGTTTATAAAAAACCCTCAGGCATTACTGACATGTTCTAATATTATCAGATGAAAAACTAAATTATCAGACATGCTGTCTCATCTGCTTCATTTCTAAACTTGCAAAAAGTAACAAAACCATGTGAAAGCCACTATTTGTGGATTCTCTGAAAGTTTCCATGGAGTGTGTGACAACTTATTTTTTCATTGATCCTATCGTCTAATCTCACAGCTGAAAAAGCATCCTTAATAATCTGTGCACAGGAAGCTTACCAATGCTGTAGTAAAACAAAAGGTATAATAATTTATTATTAATAAAACCTTGTTGCAGCACTAAAGAAGAAAAATGAGATTTTGCATTAACTATGCAAAATATTTACATATGAATTGTTTTAGAGCCCTTTTATTGGCAGAATCTGATATCAATTTAGTTCTTACAAAAAATGGGTCCCAACATGGTTTGTGTGGCATTGCCATGGTGTGACGTCATAGGCACAGATCCCCTGTCCTCTTGTTTGGAAATGGAAATATGGTCACCCTATTAAACAAACTGTCCACCCGGGCTTTTGCGCTGCACAGAGACGCTTCGCTGCCTATGACTGAACGTCAGTTGAGGGTCAGTCTCATACAGACTGACCAATGAAGAGAGGGCCTCAAGTTAAGACCCTCTCCTCATTGGTCAGTCCACACGAGGTGGGTCAAAGGTTACTCTGGGCGGGTTACGTGTTGTCAGGCATTCAAGTATTGAGTATATTTACTGCATATTACAGTAAAATATTCTGTATGTGACCACATTATGGTGATCCTTGGGTCGTGATGATGGAGCCCTTGAATATTGTTGCCCAGGGTACAACAAAGTGTTAATCTGGCCCTGGTTCCGCCATCACATTCCCACAGAAACTGGTTGATCACACCGGGGCCAGACCACTAGCATGTGGTTTTACAACCACAATGTCCTCGGAAGCAAAAACGCTTTTAAAAGGGAGGGAGGAGTCCTAACTGTTGCTGCAGGCGTGTTGTGTGAGAGTGCAGTTATATACTGGTTAATATATTTTTGGGTTCAGTTGCTTTCATGTGGCCTAATGTGAGTCTATTTGGGATCATTGGAATGATCAGCAGCATTTCTTGATGTGACTTTATGGCAGTTACCCAGGGCATCATCACAAGGAGGATGGCATTCATTTACTTTTGTTTTATTTGGTATTTTTTCAGTCATTTTTGGAAATAGTGATTAATTTTGATTAATTCACAGCCAATGTTTAATTACATTTAAAAATTAGTTGTTTGACATCCCCAGTTATAATAAATGTCAACAGATGAGATCAAACAAAACAGATGAGAATTGCCCTTAAGCTGTTTAACTTGGACCAAGCATTTTAGGTCACAGATAGATGTAGCTTAGGGTCTCTGTCTATACACCTTATAAGACAATTTAGGTGATGGCATGTTGTTTTTCTGCTATTGAACTGTTTTCTAATAATGTTGTGTTAAATAAAGTGAAGGAAGGAGAGAAATAACGTTTCCCTAGCAGTTTTTAAAAATTTCCCCATGTAATCCGATTAATCGATTAATCATGTCGAGACCCCATCCGATTCATCGATTATCCAAATAATCATTTGTTGCAGCCCTAGTGTTAGCCCCGTAGTTCCCACAGCCCCTCCCTTTCATAGTTAAGAAAATGACTGAGTGTAATCCTTTTGTGTTAGCCCCGCAGTGCCCACAGCCCCTCCCTTTCATACCCTGATCTCCTCTTTAAAAGCTCAGATCGTGTCCGAATGGTGAAAAGCCAAAGAAATACCTCTAAGAAAATGATGAATCAATCAAATGGACAGGTGTATTGTTCAATGACCAGATGGCCTTGGCCCCCCTTCCTTAGCCTAATGGGTGTAATGGCGCGTGAAGTTTCCTTTTGTGTTAGCCCCGTAGTTCCCACAGCCCCTCCCTTTCATAGTTAAGAAAATGACTGAGTGTAATCCTTTTGTGTTAGCCCGGCAGTTCCCACAGCCCCCTCCCTTTCATACCCGATCCCCTCTTTAAAAGCTCAGATCGTGTCCGAATGGTGAAAAGCCAAAGAAATACCTCTAAGAAAATGATGAAGCAAGAGGAGATGGATGAAGCACCAAGCCAAGAGGAAGAAGTGTGGATGTGCTATCACAAACCTTTAATGTCTTACCATTAGCCCGGTATTTTAACATCTCAGATATGATCGTACAGTTCATCACAAGGAACGCTCCCAGCCACATCACCTAAATTTAACACACAGAAAGTTTTGTCATCTAAATTGTAATGAAATGCAGAGAAGCAAGAAAAAGAAGGATATTTATTGTTTTGCCTCACCAGGGAGCAGAACCACATCAGTCTGACGCTGCAGCAAACTGAAGCCATTATAATGCACTACCCTACCATTACTGACACACACACACACACACACACACACACACACACACACACACACACACACACACACACACACACACACACACACACTTCTGAAAATTACGTTGTAACATTTAAACATAAAGAGACCATCTGTGAAAAAAGATGTGAGCAGAGGGAATATGATGAAGTCAGTTTTGATACTATGGAAACTTGAATTAAAGCATAATGGCAGCAGCTACAGGCCAGTTTGATCACTTGTGATCAAACCTTCTTTATCAAACCTTTAATGTCTTACCATTAGTCTGGTAATTTTACCTCTCAGATATGAAGTACAGAATAGTTAAACACAAGAAACTAAGACACACACACACACACACACACACACACACACACACACACACACACACACACACACACATACACACACACACACACACACACACACACAGTACATTTCTCTAAGAAGTAAAAGGGTTACACAAAAGCAATTGACTTACTTTTGTCTGCAGGTGGGCTTGTTTCAAATAGCTCATTCTAACCGTCAAGTCGGCACGGAGACAGCTCACAAAGCAAATGACTTACTTTTTGTTTTGCAGGTGGGCTTTTTTCAAATAGCTCATTCTAACCAAGAGCTATTTAGGTTCATCAACCCTGAAAGACATTAACCCCCTCCCCTTGCTTCCTACCCTTATTGTTACATTTTGTGACCCCCCCCCCCCCCACACACACACACACACACACACACACACACATCCCCTCTTCCACAACAATATTGTCAAACAAGATCAGAGCAGCTTCAAATCAGCTCACTGACTGGCAGTCATCCCACATGTGGCTAATGTGACAAAACTTAAAAGTCTAGTTTCACATGAAACTGTCATGGTGGATAATACTATTTATCCAATGAAAATAATTTTATAAATGAGTTGAGAACAAATTGTATGTTTTGTTTCTTTTTTCTTGAGGATTTATTGAACCACCTGTATTTTTGCACACGGATGAGGAAGTGCCGCAGTGCTTTTACCCCTTTTAATATGAACAAATAAATCACTAGAATGAACATTTACGTAAAATGAGTGTAAACATGCATCATTTGCTTGTACTTTAACCTTTATTAAACAGAACTATTATTAAATTACCACCAAGTTGTTTAACTTTTATTAAAATTATCATTATTTTACTGATATTTACAAACAAATAAGAAATCTGTATTTTGGAAATAGGAAATATTAAACGGGCAACAATTTACAGGCATTTTAAAAGTTATTTCCATTATCTAGTTGCTTGGAAAATTGAACAACGACGTGATAAGTAATATAAATTTGTAAAAATAATCTGAAGTAAAATCAACTCTTAATGACAATTCTGAGTTAAAACCCCTAAATAGCTATTTGTAATTGTTTTCCACCTAAAAGAATAAAAGTTATTGTGTCAAAATGTAAAAGAATTTCCTCTAAAATATTGCAGTTAGACGAATCGCCCTCAATGAGGGGGAAGGGGTGTTTTGTGAAACTTGGTCCAATGTCACCATAAACAAACTGCAGTTTGACACCTTCGCCTCAAGCGCAGACGCTCCGGTCAGAAACTGTCCCCGCACCAGTTAGAGACGGGCAGCTATGGCGACCTTTGAGTTATGGCTCAGTAAGTAAACACGCTACAGACTAAAGTTTACTTTTTAGCTGCTTGTTTAAGGATGAGACGCGACGCTAGCTTGCATCTCGTCATTTCATCTCCACCAATGGTTGCTGTAAATGTCACCAAAAACGTCATTTCCACTCGTGGTTTAAACTTTATTGCATTTATGTAAAGCAGTGCTTATTAATGCTCTGTCCGCACTTTATTTAGCTTTTACTAAATAAAAATAATATTAAAAGTAGAAAGAATTTTTTTAGCTGGTGCAGGAAGTTGCTTAGCTTGTGCGCGTGCCTGAGCGAGAGGCGCTCGAGCGCTGTCTATCATTTGTGCCGATGATTTAATAATCTGCTTTCATGTCACACGAAAACAAAATTAAAGTAACTCGGAAGTGTTTCCAGCAAACGCAGGTTAGTAAAACTTACTGGTGTTTTTACCAGAGTTGTAACTACTAAATGAACCTTATCTGATACCAAATCCAGCGACTCTTATAAATACTTCATCATAAAATCCCATAAAAGAATAACATGTAACAATGCATTTCCTTTAACCTTTTTATTTAGTAGGTTTCAAAGGAAAAATGCTGGTAAAATCTAGATGAGTAACTAATGACTCATGTCTGAAACTAATCTTAGCACACGTGTTATTTAAACACCTTAAACTTTTTCCAGTTTAAATAGAAAAATCATTATGAAGGATATGTGAAAGTCCTTGTGATCAGCTGTGATTTGTTTGCAGTTTTAGGGCATTTAGATCTTTCTAAAAAAAAGTTTTCAGTTCGGAGCAGACCTGTTTTAGGATCTTTGCTTGTTTGTTCATGAGATGCCTGCAACATACAATCCTGTGTAAATCAGTATGTTATGATCACTAACAGGAAGTTAGAAGACAAAAATCATAATATTTTTAAAAAGAAAAGAACCCTTTTGCATTGACATTTAGAGTCAGCCCAAAGAGAGTTATTTTTAAAGAAATCCCTGTATTTCTTTACTTTTATTCATCAGTAAAAGTGTTTTTGCAAAGAAAACTATAGATTTTTATTGAGGGGAGACATTTTCTTTTTACTCAAGTGTGTTAAAAAGAAGCAAATATCTAAAGCCCTTGGTAATTGTTCATTTCTACATTACAAATTAACGATATTTAGCTAATTCAGGTTCCATCCTTTTGCATCAGGTTTGTCTAAGTGTCTATATCTCCCATAGCAGTTATATTTTATAGTACCATTTTAATTAATTCCTTTTAGCTTTTCTAGCGCGCACAGAAATTTCTGGAGGACTTCATGCAAGTACTGGGTTTCTGAGATTGTATGAATTTAATGAAATATTTTGTGCTTTCAGGCCACAAGTAGCTCTATGTCTTCTTCCCCAAAATCCTGTCTCCACATGAGAAAGAAGCTCTTTAGGCTCTCACTGTCAGTAACCAAACTTCACATAAACATACAGATGATGCAGGTTCACCAACTGGCAGATCTCACTTTAGCACATTAGACTTCAAATTTTAAACTAATCTTTTTATATTGTTTGAACAAGACGAATATCAATGGCATGATTTTCATCAGTATTTTGATGTACAGTATCTGTTTTTACTCAAAGGTCATCATAGTACCTCCAATGATTTAGTCCATTTCCTGTGGAAGAGAGCAATCTTGTGATTAGCACTGTTGCATCCCCGACATGAGATGTTAAAAGTGTGAAGGATGGGGAGAACAAAAGAACTGGCGGCAGAGTTTAAAATGGGTTTATTTGTACAAAAGGTATTAAACACGAGCAAAACTGGTTTCTCTAAAAGGTTAACAGTACAAAGCAAATTATCAACTATAAAACACCTGGTAAAAACTTATGTTAAAAGCTTTACCACAACAGAAGGTGTTTAAAACCGAGGTCAGTAAAATTGTCTCAAACAAAGTTACCATTAAAACCCAAACACACAAAAGATCCCACTGGATCGTTCACAATTTCTCCTTAAGAGTTAAAAACTACAAAAGTTCTAAACTCAAACAAATCCAAACAAACATGGGTTAAAACTATACAAAACCAGGAGACCATGAGGACCCCTGCACTGCTGCCTCCCAGACTGCTGAAGGCACAGCCTTTTTATACATGTGTTGGCTCATCATGATGATTTCTTGCAGCTGTGCTCCTCAGCAGCCCGGGAGAGAGGAGGAGGAGGGCGGTGTCAGGCTGATTCACTACAGCTGGGTGAATTTGGTTGCTTCTCTCCACTGGTCAGCCTGGCATCCGTAACAAGCACTAAATTACTGCATGAGCAAGAAAAATGAGGAATAAATCTGCTGAGAACTTGCACAGTGTGGTACCGTGATTCTGCTGTGAATCGTAACTTTTCAAGGGTTCCGTGAATCGCATCATGTGACATTTAAGGCTGTTAACCACACTTCCAACGTGTCTGGAGGTAACAATAATATTCTCTTTGGTGCTTTCCAGGTTCTGGAGGCTTGTATGAACACTTGTGGAAAGCGGTTCCACAGCGAGGCAGCTAAGTTTCGCTTTCTGAATGAACTTATCAAAGTGTTAACGTCAAAGGTAACTCACAGGTGTCAGAGCTCGGTCTGTCATAGACCAACTAACATAAATCAGTGCAGTAAATAAAAGTATCTGAAAACCTATGTGGTCCAAGTTTAACACAGTTTTTCACTTTGAAAAGTAGATAGTTGATGTTTAATTTGTCCTTACAAAGTAAGCTTTGCCTATGGTTTACCTTTTTTTTAATACTCAATTCATTTGAGTTTAGTTCTTCAAAAAAAAGAGCTCAATAGGAAGATTTGTGTAACATACTTTATTCATCACAAAGATAGTTTACTGTTGTAGTAAAAACAACTAATGTGCTGAACAATATTCCAAAGCTACAGCAAATTATAAATGAAAACCTAAACTTCGAGGATGAACTGATTCTGGTTTTTAGAGCCAATACAGATTTGTGATTCTTGTGTAGTTCTGACCTGCCAAAACAGATTTATTTCAAAGAACTACTGCTTTAAATTTCTGATGATTTTGAAAATGATTTTTCTGGAAGTAAAACAGAGTCTGATTAGTAAAATTCTTGATCTGATGTCCATTCTCAATGTTGTGAGTGACCAGAAAAACTGAAAAAATATCTGTTGGGTAATTCCTATATCACGTCCAAATTACCTCAAAAGAGTCAGAGCATACACAGAGGGATTAGATCTTTTTGGAAATTGTAATCATCAAACAACAATCAATAAACGAACTTTGCAAAGGGTGAAACATACACACCAGAGTCAAAGGCGGTTTGTTCTCACCAGAAATAAAGCTGCGGAGAGCTTTTATTAGGACCAAGTCAAAGATAACCACACCTACATCAGAAGATAATAGGAAGTCTTCAAAGGGGTCTTCATAGCTGGATGCTACAGACATACTGAAGAGTCACCAAGTCTAGCCTTGATGTGCCTGACAATTTGCATTCAGGCAGGAAGCATTTCTACAACACTTTAAAATGTAAAAACTCTGTTTGATTATGAATTTTTACCTGACAATATCCTTGTTGTCTCAACAGTTGTGAAAGAGACCTCAAAAGAAAAATACTTTCTTAAAATAATTTCTTTTTCTATAAATCTTGGTATTTAAATTATGGTTCAGTTAAATAAGGAATCTAACTGTTTTGTAATTTTTATGCAGTTCAGTCAGATCAGCATAGTTTAATTATCATCACCTACTGATTTCAGTCTTTTGGCGCGTGGAGTCCACAGAAAGTTAAAGACAGAGTGACGGAGGTCTTCTACGGCTGGACGCTCTGGCTTGAAGGGGAACGTTGGTTACGTATTGTAACCCCAGATTCTATGAGTCTAGTCGCAGCCCTTAAGCTAGCTGCTATTGGAAGGATGATCTCCGCATCAGCCAATCATGAAGAGCTTAAATGTACGCCCACCAATAGTGGGCCCCCTCGTGGTATATAACCGCAGTGACCCCACTGCTCACCTCCAATGGCTCTTATTCCCATCATAACCAGTGGGGCCAGTGGCTTAAGGGCTGCGACTAGACTCATAGAATCTGGGGTTACAATACGTAACC